TCCTCTTTTTGATGCCATTCACTTTAGCAAGCCGACACCCTTCTCCAGAGACAAATCTCTCCCGACAGCAGGAGCAAAGCACATGAGACCAAGCCTCACCAGCCTTGCCTCTAACAGCAGCCTGGCTATATATGTATGAAGGATATCTCTATCTATCCAATAGGTGCGGCCGATTTCAGTCTCAAGGGAGTTGAGAAGGGAACGCATGTAGCTAGCAATAATTTATATCACTCCATAAATTATAAACTGTGCTAAGACATTCAGACTAAAACAAGATTCTCCATGACCTTTAAGCCAGCTGTATTACAATTAAAGTCAGTTATAAGTTGAAAAGTATGACCCTTGTATAGAACTTTGAACTTGGACATGTTTAATATATTAATATTTACATATATTGAATAGATATTATTGAATATGTATATATCCACATATTAAAAAACAACATGACTATCAAGTCAGTTTCTTTTCTCTCTTTTTTTTAAATTAAATCATTTTATTGGGGGCCAAGTCAGTTTCTACTCTATTAACTTGAACAAGTTATTTAAACCCTTAAGGCCTCAGTTTTCTGATCTGTAAAAGGGGTCTATTACTAGTGCCTCCCTCACAGGGCTTACCTGACACAGCAGCCAAAAGTTAGTGATCGTTTTTTAAAATTATTATATGAAACTGAGTAAACATGTAAGACCAAGTGTGAAACAAATTATTTGGAATCTTCAAAAATTTGTAAATATCATTTGTTGGGTGTGGTAAGGTAATAGACCTGTGGAATTTCATGATGTATCATTATTAAGATAATTATTTGAAACCTTTTGCCATCTCTTCATTCAGAATATGTGAACTAATCAAGCAATCAGCAAATGATAAGCAGGTGACTTCTGTGACAGCTATAATTTAATGAGCTCCAATATCCCCACCACCACACCCACCATTCTCTCCCACTGTCTAAATATGTGTCTCCCTGAGATTTTCAGAAGATAATGAAATGCATAGTGTGGTGATGTCAGGAAAGTGTTAGACTTCTAACCACAAGATTGCCAGTTCAAAGCCACCAGTCACTCTGGTAGAAAGATGAGGCTTTCTACTCCTATAGATTTACAATCTCAGTCACCAGCAGGGACAGTTCTACTTTGTCCTATAGGGTCCCTGTGAGTCAGAATAGACTCAATGTTGCTGAGAATGAGGTAGCATGGGGAAAGGAACCCCAGTAGCGATGTCGGGTTATGCTGGGCTGCTAACTGCAAGGTAAACCGTTCAAATCCACTAATTGCTCACTGAGAGAAAGAAGAGGCTGTCTGCATCTGTAAAGACTGTCAGGAGTTGAAATTACTTGACAGCAATGGGATTGAATGGGAAAGAGAAAGCACAAAGGGAGTCTTATTAGTTTTTACAGCATAAAAGTTGTTATGCAAGTGGCAGCACCTGCCTTCTGTTCTTGCAGAGAGAGAGACAAGAACAAGCTAACAGGACA